AGGGTGGAGCCAAATTTTACAATTCACTTTCAAGAACTGAAAACAAGAAAAAACTAAATCCTACATACACCATCTTAAATACTCACAAGCACATTAAATGTGTATTAATCCAGAAAAAACTTTTTTTCATTGGACCATATTTATTAATTATAAACAAATAAAAAATAGTATAAATATATTCTACTTTGTGCTACTTTTAACCAGCCGTCTCTAATTCTACCATCTCTGTGCTGGTTAAGCTGCTGCTGCAAAGACAATGTTTACCAAAGAAAAAAACAAGCTGTGGCTAATTTATAACTACGTAACTCAAATCGCTTTCCAAGGTCAACATAAAAAATGATGTTTGGAATTATTGAGCATCAACAGCTAGATTTCTGTAGCTTTTTCCTCTCAGAAGCCAGTTATTGACAGTGATGTGGCCGGTTTGTCAATGCGTGGTACAGCCTGAGGGTTGACACATCATCAGGGCAGATATCCGCCATCTCACGCCTTCACGTCTCATTAAAATAACCAGGAGCCTACGAAACTGAGTAAATCTACACCTCCACTGGCTGGTCACAGCCTATAACACACACGCACTATTCATTTGTGTTTGAGTAATGTTTGTTGGAGCATTTAGCAGCTTTTTCCCTCAGGAGTGGAGTTAAAACGGAGCTAAAAGAGTGCAAACATTCAGCCAGATAACGTGAATGAAAATGTTGTGCTGTGACTTCTAGAAATATAAAGTCGGTCCTATATTTTTCAATTCATGACATGAGAATCGACCAAGGATAGAAATAGTACTAGAATAGTAATATAATATACACAACTACTGTTACTTTAAGCACAGAAGGGAAGTTACATGTTTAAAATAATGTACTCGGCAATGAACACATTTCTGTCTACTGCAGGCAGTGCATTCAACTGATTATAATAGATGTAACCAGACAAGAGGACACAACACAGGCAATGAAACATTGGACAGCCATGGTTACCAGCGTTGAGTAAGTAACGCGCCACTTCTCAGCGTAGAATGGCCCACACTGACATCATGGAGATGCATTCACAAAGTCTCTGGTAGCTGCAGACAACACGTACTCACGTCGTCGTCTTCATCTGTCCAGATGATTGTTGTGCACTGTGAAGCCCTCCACACTGCATGCGTAATACAACCAGGACACTTCTCCATAATGGCCTCCAAGGAGCACTTCTGCATTAGCTGGATCGAACGTAGTCGCTGACCCCCAAGTGTTGTGTTGTCGTGACGCTTTAACATTTGGATGTTGCAGAGTTGCTCCCGTGGGAAAATTCAACACAACCAATTACTTCTCAGCCATTCTGGCAAATGTTTAAAATCAAGTTTATTCTTTTGAGATTGAGATCCACAGGACAGGTCACACATAGCACGATGTGTTTATGAATGATAACTAACGCTGTACTGCAGCAGAATGAAATGACAACGCCGTTACGGCAGAGGCAGATTTATTACAGTGCCATGTTGATCGATACATTCTCAATGAAGATGGCGGATGTGTACTGAATCTCCCGCCTTTTGCCAGTGTAACACGGGCCGGGAGGGGAGGTTGGATGGAAGTGACGAACATGCCAACATAGTTTGTGTATTGATCTTTTTATGGGATTTGTTGTAAATGGTGAAAATGCATTTCAGCGCCAACCCAGTCAACAAAGCTCTTTTATTGTTTCTTATATGGGGTCGTTTTTGCACAAAATAGGCGCTGTAGTATATTGGATTATGTCTGAACAAGACCTCTTCCACCTCTGAGGTAGGACTTCTGCTGCCTTCACAGTGTGACGCAGACGACCTGAGGCACGACTGCACCCACGGTGACACTGGGGAGAATGCTACTCAGAGGCGAGCACAGATTCCCGCTCTAAGTAGAGCGAGAGGGAGAGATTGGCCGCTGAGGACAGACCGTATTTATAGCCGGGGGCAGCAATAATTCATTGTGATCAAAGTGCAGATCATGCTCCATCCCATCAGAGAGCAGACGTGGCGGAATGAAGCGAGCGCGCTTCGCTATCTGCGGCATCTCTCTGGCGGCCTCCCCTCCAAACGGGAGCGCCGAGGCGTCAGTCATCCGCCGTGATGCCGGCGCGCTCGCCCATCCCTTCTTAGGTGGCTACACTTATTTCGTGGGGGCAGAGCGATGGCCACACCCGAGCTCGCGGCGGGAAAACGTGCGCCCCAAAAGCCTCTTCGCGTCACGCGGCTCCTGTGCGCCACGTGAGCACGTCAGACCCCCATTACCCTTTCAGTCAACACCCTGTTTACTAGTCTTCTTGTTGTTGTTCCCCGTGCAGCTTTAATTTGCTCCATAATGCTACCAGGGAACAGTCAGCAATAAGACCACCCATGTGTGCAAGCCGCTCTCTGTGCAAACACACACGCACCAGCTTCCCTCATTCCAGTTCCTTTCATTTCATTTTGTCTCCCATCCGTGCCCTTTCCCAGGGACACACACATGTGCCCTTGTTTTCTCTTTCCCTCTTTTATTTTATGGTCCCTCCCGCCTTTTCTCGGCCAGTACTGCTTTCTCTGCAATCATGCACGCACGTCCAGACACACAAACGTACACACACACACACACACGCGCGCGCGTGTGTGCAGGTTTCTACCAGTTTCATTTTCTCTCCCACCCGCCAACCCACCCACACACAGACACACACAGACACACACACACACACACACACACACATTGTTTGCCTGCTTCTTTCTCTCTTTCATTTTACTGCGTCTCCGAACCCTGTCACTCCTTCAAATGCACACACACACACACACACAGAAACACATGATGACACACACACAGGCGGCAGCACACAGACTCCTTCATCTTCTCTTTTTATTTCTTCTCCCTCCCACACTTCCCTTTCACTACTTCCCTGCACACACACACACGCTCACACACACACACACACACACACACACACACACACGCTCACACAGAGGGGCGCCTGTTTCCTTTGCTCTCATGTTCTCATCTCCATCCCTCCTTCAGCACGCACATACCTCTTTTCTCTCCTGTTTTCTCCCAACCGCCTCCCTCCCACAATCCCGTACACACACACACACACGCGGTCCAGCTTCCTTCACTCCCAGCTGGGCTTGGCCGGCTCTCTTCCTCTGGCCTCCCAGGGCCATCTGGAGTGCAATGTCCCCCGCGCTCTGCTGGTTCCCCCCGCCGGCTTCTTGAGCCGCCTCGGGATGCTGCGCGGCATCTTCGAGGACAATATGTACGCGTCAAAGCTCTGCTGTGTGCCCTGCGACCCAGCTGAGGAAGCCCCCCCCCAGCTTACTCACCCACAGCTCTTCTACTTTGATGACACCTGCGCCTCCCCCCACCCCCCCGCCTCCCTTGTTGGACGGTGGAAGACGGAACGGTGAATTGATTAAAAGCGAGCTACTCCTCTTAGCAGCCAAAGCTCTGATCTCACGTAGGGTTTGTGGATTGACGGGGGGGAGGGCGGGGGCGGGGGTCAAGTACCTCTAACAAGCTTTCGAGGTAAAAAATAAAGAAATAAAAAACACAGCATTATTCTGCGTGAATTACAATTTCTGGCTTGGTTAAGGGAGAAGGTCTCTTCTGCTCTAGTGCCGGGATGCAAGACTCCTGTGAAATGATGCAAAGGACACTGGTAGGATTGTCTCGTCTCGTCTGTCCTTGAGAAGTGTTGCAGATTTACACGTTTGAACAAAAAGAGTGCCGGATTGAACAATGTTAGATCCCAGATTCTTTATATATATTTATATTATTCAATCCCTTAATACAAGCCGTCAAAGTCACGGATGGATTTGAACCATCAGGCTCCTCAGGCTCCCACAGAGCTTTGTGCCCTCACATTCATTCACTGAAACACCACAGTGGTTTCAATACAAAGTATACTCGTGCCATTTGAAATCAACTCACAGCTCCAGCCTTTCAGCCACAAGTGTCCCGTCTTTAAAGTGGGCCTTGTTCTGCTTTGATGACGCCCACGCGTCCTCTCAGCCCCGACATGTCGCTTGAATTGAAGCAATCACACTGTCTCAGATCTAAACAATCTGCTCTTTTCCTTTAACGAACCTCCAAGCGCAAGGAAAATAAGTGGGGTATTTTGCTTTTATAGTCGTAGTCCAGACTAGAGTGCACAGAGGCCGAGTCCGGATCGGAACCCTTGAGGTGCGATGCACAGGAAATGTACCGACTCAGACCGTCTTAACGGATACTCATTTAGCTGCATTTGTTTGGATACGTGGCAGCTTACATTCAGATTTCTTCAGACAACACCTTGGAAAACAGCTTTGTCGTCAACTGCAAAGTTTTTAAAACAAAATGTGATTCATATTTTCCCGAGCCACCAGAGCAGAGTCACTGTGCCACACGGGAGTTATGAGGCACCAGCAGGCGGCAAAGTGAGAGACACAAGCGGGCTGGCTCCCTCCGTGGTCACTGCTGGGAGCTCTCGACAGTGGAAAACACAAACAGACACACACACATTCAACCAGCATATCTTGACGTGTGTGTGTGCGCGCGAAACAAGATTTAACAAACCGTAATAACAGTGTACACAGGCAATAACCTGCCCCATGGTGTGATGTTTGTGTTCAGAGTATATGGGATGCTCAGCATAAATGAGCAGGAGACTCAGGAGACCAGCAGTGCAGGTAATCCCAAACTTAAGTGTGAAAAAGTTTAAAAAGCAGGAAGTTAAAAACCCCAATGGTCACCGAAAGACAATTTTGCAAAGTGAAATACTTAATAGCAAGAAAGAACTCAACAGGCAGTCTGCGACATCTGTAGTTACTTTATCAATACTTTTCACATGTATTCTACTTTATTCTACCAGACCGCCTGTGTAGCCAGTCAATCCACAGGATCAAACTTTCAAAATAAGACACACGCAGACACCAAGAGGCGGCACACAAAGAAACCCGATCAGACAGTGTAGTCCTTTGTACAAAGCTGCATCACGATGTCCCAGAGACACATGGCTGAAATAGCGAAGCGTCGCGTCGGACTCACCTCGCCGAAGCCGCCGGATAAAACGCACGAAGCCGCGTGAAGCAGGTGAGCGGAGTGGGAGCGTCTTCGTCTCCCGCACTAGTTGTTTCAGCACCGCGGACAGCGCCTCCGCCTCTTTCTCCTCTCCTCCTCTTTCAGCAGAGGGCGCGGGCGGTGCGAGTCAAAGGTCGGCGCTGGTGCGAACGCCTCGCCCCGCTGTGCAGTCCCGGTGAATAAAACCAAACAACGTCTCCTTCAACTTTGATTGCGTCGCGTCGACGCACCGGCCGGATCAGACATGCCTCAGCGCGCCAGATCTTCTGCGCGATCGGTCACAAAGCCGCTCGCCTTCTTTTTTTTTTTTTTTGTCTCTCCCCCACCCCGCCACCTCCCCCACTTCCCCCTCACTCCGCGCGCATCCCCGCGCGGTCTCCCACAGGACCGGTCGGTGTCTGTCCGCCTCGGGGGCGTGCAGGCGGGCAACGGGGAGCGGAAACAGCGACTTTAGGACGGGCTTCTGCTGCTATCGGTGCGCATCTCCGTGCGCGGCGCGGCGGTCTGTGTCTTGGAGCTGGTGGAGAAGATGCGCGCGGGATGTTTCTCCTCTCCCGCGCATCCACTCGGCGCGGGGGCTACAGCGCAGCACCGGCAGCAGGAGGAGTGTCTTCTGACTTCATTAAAGACTCTTCTATGGACGAGCGTCCCATCCTTATTATAACCCGACGTCTGTCTTTTTCTCGGTGCACAGCGTGTCACGTGCAGTGCTGTTATGCATGCGAGCTGGATATCTGCCTTTTGCGAGAGACACGAGCGCGAGACATCGCGGATCCATTAAAGTCCAGCGCCATTACTTCATTATGAATTAGGTGTTGGCGATGATTTAGAAAACAGTGCCACTGTGCGTCTGAGAATGTCTGTGTCCGAGGACTTCACGACTTTTGAACACACGTGATTGGCCAACAACGTCTCCATTGAGGACAGTATTGGCGTGTCCCATTGGTTTAAGATGCTGTATTGATCATTAAAGTACCATCACTGCTTTCATCTGGAATTTAGGGATTGGTCGTAGGATTGTCTTGTCTCGTCTGTCCTTTAGAAATGTTTGAGGCTTAGTCCCCAATGATGTGTGAGTAGACCTATTTTGACAATTGGGTAGTTTTAGATTATTAAAACAAATCCCACTTATGAGCAATAAGTGACTTTGCAATCGGGTTTGGATCTGAGACAGAGACACGTTGACCATCCTGAGAGTCCCCGGCTAAGAACCTTAGACAACACATTCCTAAACCTTTCCAACTGTTCCACCTGTGGAGCTCTGGGTAAGACATCGATCGTGACTTCTTAATGTTCATCTTCACAGGAGGTGACCTTAGTTACAGGACCTAAATGTCAACGGACACTTTTAGTTGGGCACCGAACACTAACAAGGTTCTCCAGCATGGAGGTCCTGTGTTTGTTCCACATGCCCCGTACGGACTACCGGGCTCTTGACAGTCTGTCAGTACCTGCCAGCGTCTAATAATGACACACAACTCTGTGATTGCATTTTATTGGAGGTCCCGTCTGCCTTTCTTTCATTGTGATAATATCAAAAGTGGCACTTTAACACATTGGCCTTAACAAATTAGACTGATGTTTAGCCCCGCGGGCTAGTGGACGGCCACCAGCATCAAAAAATAAAAGCACACACACAATAAGCTGCTTAATCTTGCTCTGATTTGAACTGAGGGATTTTGCCCTGTCATTTTCTCTATAAATACGACCCATAGCTGGAAAAAATAGAAGGTTTAATGAAAAGAGAAAAGGCCCTGTGGGATGGATATCAAAAGCCAGTGGATGTGCATAATTCATCTCAGACTATTTCATAAAGCCCTGCAGACGGGCTTTCTTAAACCTGTTTTATTAAAAAAAACTCTATATATTAGCCCTCTGCACTACGCACGAGTAGGACAGTTGACTTGGATCTACAGAGGCAGCATGTTTTCACTCTTTTGCTTCCTAAGTTACAGCTAGTGTAAGTTAAAAAACAAAAGTATGACTTTAGAACCCTTTGAGAAAGTCTTTCGCGGATACTGGCGAGGACTAATTTCAGCCCCGAGCTGCTCGGCGCCCACGTCTCTGTCATCTGCCATGAGGTTTTTGAAATAATGATGTTATTCTCAATATCTGCCACACAAGGCGACTATTGACACGACAGGTATTTGTGTGTTTCCCTGCAACAGAGATGTTTCTTTCGTCGGTAAGCAGCCTCATTCCAGGGTGTGGCTGCTGCTGCTGCTGCTGCTGCTGCTGTGAAGAAGAAAACTCCAGCTGACACACTCTCATGCGCCTCCTGACTGAAGCACACCCCCCTCTGCTGGCTGGTAGTCGGCGAAAGGAGAAGAAGAAAACCCTTCCGTGTGCTCCTCTTGGCTTCGGGGGACTCCGGGTACAAGTCCAGGAACACTAATTCACACCCAGAGGAAAGGCTTTGCTCCCCGCTGCCGCACGGGTTCTCATTGTGGAGCCTTTATAGATTCACAAAGCTGCTGCGAGTAAAGTGGGGCAAAACATCGCCCAAGTCCTGAAGATCTAAAGAAGCTCCAGTACGGCAGCGGCTGGGACTGCGGGGACCGCTCGCCGACGTGCACGTAGGGGCGTAGCCAGGACATTATTTCTGGGGGTGGGGCGGCTCTGGCCAGTCTTTTATTTGGGGTGGCACTTGATTGTCAAAAACTGCTATTTTAAAACTCACTCAGAGCAGCAGTTTTCTAACGGCTCATCTAGCCATAAACAATGGATTGAACCTTCTTATGGACACTAATGATGTCTTACTAGTATTTTCTTTTTTTGCTGTGCCGTGAGGTTGGAGGACGGCAGGGTGGCCATTCTCTGACCAATGGTGGCCGTAGGCCCCACTGGCCACCAAGGCCACGCCCCCGCGTGCACGGCAAGCTGCAAATCAACGCCCTTGAAGTAATTCTTTTTTACTCACGAATTAAACGTGTCATCTGCCTGATGTTCATTAAATAAAGTAATTTCACGAGGCCCAGTTCTCACCGTGAGAGCCATTGAGAAGTGTTTAATGACTGCATCGAGTCAGCTCGGATATGAAAGCGCTGGCAGGTGGGATGTGCTCTAATGAAACATGTAGTCCGGTCGGATTGCGAGCTGCTGATGGATTTTGGAGGATTCGCTGGTCTTGACACCATTCCGTGGCCAAAAGACGAACAACCCCCTCGTGGCACACTCATCAGTCCCATCCTCTCGCCCCTCATCGCTCATCCAACTCTGGCATCTGGTGTTACTTGTAATCAATAGTGTAGGAATCCAAAGTCTGCCCAGAGCAAGCGGTTGGCAATTATAAAGCACCCACAGAACATTGTTTCGATCAGGGATAAAAAAGCATCTCTGTCTTTTTTTTCTCGTTCAAACTGAAGGGCTTGAATGTGTGTGCAAAGAAGACGGCGTGTAACTGAAATGTTAAGTGGCTTGAAGAGCATCTTTTTTTTGGTTTCTTCCCAGTAGCTCAGAAATCAGCAATAAACCCTCCATATGTTCCCCACATCTGGCGCGCTGGAGGCTTTGCTACCTCGGAATAGACTCGCGCCACATTCATTTTCAGCATTCACCTTTCTGCTCGCTGCGTAAACCCGTGGATGAAAAAAAGTACCCCGAGATCCTATCTTGCCTTCCATGATCTTCCTCAAACTTATAGCTGCCTCAGCAGTGGCATAACTCTGCCGTGCTCTAAATAGCTCTTTTGGCCCCGCTGCCTTTTGGTTGATTATGATAAATGGGCATGGACAACAGTTTAATACATCACACCGGCCAAAATAAATCCGGGGTTCTCTTTCTGCCGGGGCTGTTTAATTCTTTTAAACTGTACACAGCAAACATCTGTCATTTCAACAGAAACTTAAAGGTCCATCGTTTTCTTATCGCGGTCAGTGAGACCAGAAGAGTGGTGGCTTATCAAAGAGACGCAGCGGGAAAAAGAGATTCCACTCGAGGGAGTTGAACTTTCATAATGGCAATGGGCTCAAATGAAGAGCTAAACATGGCGGGCACATCTTACAGCTTGCTGCGAAAACCCCAGCAAACACCTTATTAAGTAAGCGGCAAGAGGAGCAGCAATGCATCTCCATCGTGGACACACACGCTGTGCGATAGTGATCACCTCCCTGAGTCTCTGCTACACAATGAACTCCCGGACTTTATTCCCGGGCTCCTCTGATGAAGATGAATGCGTGTGTGCTGCGCCTCATTTGGGGTTTCCAGCGAAGGCCCACTAAGCCGGAGTCGGGCCCCTGATCAATTGAGGGACAAGGCACCACGTTGGCAGCCGAACCCCTCTGGCTGAGCAATCCAATATCAGGGTGTGGATGAAAAAAGCTTGGAGGACGTGCAGGATGGATGAACTGTCGGCACCGTCTTCCACAGACAGGCGGCTTGCGATTGTCTTCAGGGTGCAGACGGCGTCGATGCAGAGTCAAGCGGCTCTGCTGCGGGTGGCTGTGCTTTTGCCTGAGAGCTACAATGCTTTCATGCCGTTTAAAACTATATATATATATATATATATATATATTGCCTTTGTTGTTTCTGTACAGCCTGGTTTCCTTTTCCACATAGATATTTTTATCTGGCCTCTTTAGTCGGGGAGGTAAAAAAAAAAACGACCTCCGCGGATGGAAGCGTTGGTATGCGTTTCAGAGGGCGACGCAATTCGGGATGGCTCATTCCAGTTAGTGCAAAGAATATCATTAACTTTTCACTTGTTGAAGTTTTTTGTCATGTTTGCCCTTAAAATTGACAGATGCTAAAAATGTGCAGCTGATTTAAGGCCATTTTTTGTATTATAGTTGTGTTGATTTTTGGGGATCAGGATGACAGCGTCACGGCAGGTAAATAGATCAGAAATATGAAACAAACACTGGATCTCCGCTAACCATAAACCGCACCTCGGTTCAAGGTAGCATCACGGGCCCCCTGTTTGTGCAGGTGCTTTTTGTGTTATTGTGTTCTTGAGCTGTTTAGAGGAAAGATGTTGGTTTTGATGCCTTTTTCTTACCTGTGTGTGAGTAAGAAAAAGTTTATTCTAAAAGAATGCCTCATTCAGAATGCCAAATTCAAATGTGTAATTTATTTGCAATCTTGGTTTGGAATTCTTACTTCAGTGCTTTAACTGCTCTGTTCTTTCCACCGTGAGATGAGAAATTGAAGGGGATGTTTGTTAAAGGGGTTCCTCCTCTGTAGTTTAAAAAAGAAAATCCCAGATGAGTGATTACTGCATTGGATTGAGAGGATGGTGCACTTCACCGCTTCCATCTCCATCAACAATAATAATTGATCGAGATGCACAATTCCCTCTGTGGGTTGGACAGACCAGTGTGTGAGCATGTGCACAATATTGCACGGAGTGACACATCAGATATCGGTTCACAAAGCTCTTACTAGATGCTGCCGGTATATTGTCTCTAAAAAAGGAAGGGAGGAAAAATACAACAATATAAGATGTAACATCTGAGCTTTGACCTTTTCATAATCTGTTCTTGATACTCAAAATTTGCTTTCGCCTTCATCAACAGATACAAAGTTAAGATCAGCGTTGCCTCTCTTTAAAGGAGATATCAAAATGTTAATTATTTCCCTACTACTGTACTTTCATGTTGTGCGAAAGCTTTTCTTACACTGAAGCTCTAGCGGTGAATGTTCACATGCACTCACTGACCGCCTGTTTTCAAAAATAGATTCTGAGAACCTCCTCATATTTCAGCCCGGATATTGAACAGAGCATTAGTGTCTAAGGCAGCGTCGTTCTGTATGTTGCCAGCGGACTTAAGTCTATCTCCGGTGAATTCTAAGTTGGAAGCAGCTATGGAGCAACACGTGCTCGGTGCCGTGGGGAGCACTTTCATACCGCACTGCAGCACCCGTCTGCCAGACTAGGACGGCGCCACTGCATATCATCACCTTAAATCACATTAGAACACGCTGGGGCTCCAAGGCGCAACCGCCTGGTGGAAAAAATCAAAATAAACTGCAGTTTTATTCTATAGTAGAACATCTGCTATTAAAAAAAACCTCTTTGTGTGACTTTGACTAAAGTTGGAAGTAAAACCTTTAAAAGGCAGAATTGTAAGTGCTTTTTATGCAACACATTTTACTATTCTTTTAACCCCCTCCCCCCTCTCTTTCTTCACCTAAGCCCATATTGTGACTGCCTCCTCACTTAATAACCCCTTCAGGGTTTCCTCCTGGCATTACCTGTAGCTCGTTTCTATTTTTTTCTCAAGGTCAAGGGCATTTCCCCCACGTCACAGCGGCTTTTGGAGAGACATCTGACACAAGCCCCCACACTGCTTAATGAACCCTAAGGATCCACGGGGCATGTGAAAAGCACTACAGGGCAGACATAGCACTCAAAGCAGCTCCTTGCCCTGTCTAAGAGCATTACTTCAGCTCCTCTCTAATGTACTCCGGGGCTCAAGCTGCACAACTGACCTGGTCCAAATAAAACTGTTCAACCCTTTCAACTCTCCCCACGGGACATGCATCAACAAACTCCTGCCTGCACACGTCACTGCTCTGAGCCCCATGAGCTTTTTGGGGCTCACTGAAGTACTTATCCTCTCCCCTGCAAAAATAGTTTTGTTTGTTTGTCATCGGTGTAAGGAATCGTCTCCTGGCAGACGTCTGCTGTGAAGCAGGCCCCCTTTTCGAGGTCTGTGGTCAAAATAAAGCCAAATAAATGGTTTCCAAACGCAGTGCAGTTACAAAGTGAATCACAAACAACAATATTCACTTGAACATATGGTTGCTATGTGGTTAAATTCACAGTCGGGCTCCATTTCAGCTGCACAATTTCACCCGCAGAGCCTCCGGAAACCTATAAGTCCTGGGTTTTATATCATGGGTTAATTCACACGTTCATACGTCATCAAAACATTCATCTTAGGGATTGACGTAACCACACGCCTTAACTCACCTCCTGTTTTCATCCCATCACTTCTTCCTTCACTATTACGCAAGGCATGTAATGCTGCCGTCGATGCAATGTGAAACAGCTGACGATGCATTTGCAATGTCAACACGACCAACTGCTCACTTTGGCGAGGGACTGCATGCTGCAAGTGGAAGGGAGCCGTGCTGTTCTCGTAGCGTGCACGATGCAGCCCGACCCCACCCACCGAAAGTGCCTTCTGCTCTAATCCCGACTGCGAGAGTGTCAAGGGAGTGTGGGGGCACGGTAGACTAAACAAAGTGCTCACTGCATCACGTATGAGATTCACAAAGTCACTATCACCCTCGCAGCAAATGGATTCAGTGTTGATTAGAGCCAAGTGCAGGTATGCATTTGGCAAATGTTCAGTCCTCCATTGGAAAAAGCGTTATACAAAGTATATATATACTCTGCACTGTTACAGGGGAATGTTGTGCAGATTTAGGAATGTCCAAATATTCAGGTTTCTCAAGCATTACTTCTTGCTTGTAGCTGTACTTTGCCCTGCACGTGTACCTGGCCTAATGCCATACGTCCTTCAAACACCTACTTGCTAACCTTGCCGCCGCATGGACTTGAAGCAGAAAATAGATGCCGTCAAGTAGAAATCACTAGAATCAACACGGAACGATACATACCTTTTATACTTACATAATTCAACGTTGACGGGCCTCTGCACCAAACCAGACAAACTCCAGACCAACCTAGCGATATGGCTCCCTATCATACGTGCTGCGTTGACCTGTTGTGCACCATCACGGGGCCCTCTGCGGGATCGTGCACCACCAATGTTCTAATGGACACAACCGCCGGCCTTTTCCTCAGTCACCGTCGCTCTGGAACATCCTATTATCGTGGTCACAGGTTGTCATTCCTTCTGATGAGTGGTTGCCAAACGTCAAGAAGACACGTCTGAACCAATATGAGCTTGACACAGGGCAGACGCTGAAGAGAGTGGAGGAAATGGAGAGGAGAGTGGCATGACGCTGATAGCGAGACAGACCGGTTGAGACTGTCACGAACAATGAATGACAACCCTCATCCCTGAAGGTATAAGGTTTACT